GTTCATTACTTCTGTTGATTGTATTTTTTTCTGATAAAACCATATTTATTTTAAACTTGTTTGTTCAATCTTTTGGATATTATCTTCAATGGTTTATACAAATTGGTTTTCATACGGAAGCATTTGCTCAATTGGGAAATGCACCAGACAAAAAAGAAAACCCAAACTGGATTGATGAGTGGACCATTTTTTACTGTAAGTGGTTTAAGTTAATCAAATTAAGCAGCCGTAGCGCAGTAGTTAGCGCGCTTGCCTCAGATGCTAAACATCCGTGGTTCAAAGCCACCTCCGGGCAAGTTTTTAACATTGGTAAGGAGGCTTGAACTTCCTTTCGAGTTGTCGTCTCACGTGCTCTGTGATAAGTCCGCAAAGCTTCTTGAGGCACCTAAAATAAAAAAAATTATGTATAACAATTAGATATATTTTTAAAATCGTTTAAAATTTATATTTTCTAAATCGTTTAAAATCCGCTTTTTTAAATAATCATGGAGTTTGCTTTTTAAAATTGATTTTTAATTTCAAATCCAGTAGACTTAAATAATTTCATTTATAATTTTTAATATTTTAATATTGTAATTATTTTAATTTTGTAATTAATTTAAGGTGAGTTTGCTATTTTTTTTTTTTTTTTTATCTTTAGGGGGATGGTGGATAAGCTGGTCTCCATTTGTTGGGATGTTTATCGCCAAAATTAGCAGAGGACGAACAATAAAAGACTTTATTTTTTATACTCTTACAGTTCCTTCAATTTATTCATTTTTTTGGTTTACTGTGTTTGGTGGTGTTGCAATACAGTTTGAAAACACAGCAGTAAATAGAGGAATGAACTGTTCTATGTACGAACAGCCAATACAAAACATATCAAAGTAAATATTTTAATTAATTTCTCTTTCTTATATCGTATTTATAAATAATATTTTATAACACAATGACATATATTTTATGATATTAGAACTTATATATCATACTTTGTGATAAAATTAGGGATTCTGTGTTTGTCAATAAGTTTAAAGATAGTAATAAAACATAAAATAGTGCCAAATAATGTTAAATTGAGCTTGTCAATCATGCGTTAAAAAAGCTAATATTTTAAAGGAATTAATTTGTTTAATATAAAGTAATATATTTGACTCATATCACTTTTTGTATCAAGTTAGTAGATAATGTCAATTGCAACTTAGTAAGTAAATATTGTAAGTATAATATAAAAGTAAAAGATTAATAAGAATTATTTACGTGAGTTATTGTTAGAAATATAGTACAACTGGAGGTGTTGCATTATTTTTTATTTACAAAGCAAGAAATCAGCATTAGTGTAAAACAACAGTAGTTTTACAAAATATTTTGGCACCAAAAAAGACATTTTGTTTAAGGTAAAGTATTGACACATCTTTAAAATATATATTTTTTTCCTTGATGAAACAAAATTATTTTCATGTGAAATATTTTTACGTGTTTACCGTGTAAATGAGTAAAACCAAGATATTGCTGCCATAATTATCTTAATCAATTGCCATAACATTATTTAGTCATGTTAATTTACCTCCCCAAGACCAAGAAGGTCACTATAGTAGAGGAGGCTACTAAAGTTGGGGTATAACCCTCTCACAACTTTATAACTCCGAAAAACACAAACCATGACAAACAAGGTCGCTGCGTGGAGAAGCAAGTACTATCAGAAATATAATTGGGATCGAACTCGGAACTTTTCGCTTATAAGGCAAGCGCTCTACCACTAAACCACTACCACATATTAAAAATACGGGATTTCAGAGGATTTTTTTTTTTTTACTATTTTAGATTTAACGTACGTGTTTCTACAGTTTTGTGATTTGGACAGGTCTTAATAATGCCATTTTTTATGCTAAATGACATGAATTTACTAAAACAGTTTTTTCAATGTTACCCTCTTTATGGTGTATCATTGACCGTAAATGTTATTTACATCGTGAGAGGTGAAATTATCACTGTAGTTTCAAAAAGTAAAACAGGGAAACGTTTTCAGTATGTGCTAGCACCAACCTACTTTTTTTTTTTTCTTTTTTTTTTTTTTGCCAACCAACTAGGGACACCTGCTGCTGAAACCAGACTTACACAGGGTCTTACTAGAAGGCCGGTATTATTAGGGAGCCGAAACTCCGCATTATGGCCCATTTAAGGGTTTAGTTGCCACTCAGCCGAAACTGAGCAGCGCCCACTTAAGGGTTTATCTCCATTTAACGTCCGGAGTGGACGGATCGTATTGAAATTTCCGGACGTAGAAGGAGACACTGAAAAAGCGACTACGCCAAGAACCTCTATCGACTGTCATGGTTTCGATCTTGTGCTGTTTCTGCTTTCTAACAACATCGTAACCAATTGTAAGATGGTCCGGAGCCGAAATAAGAACAGATAATACACTTGATCTTAGCCATTAGGCCGAGAAGCCAACCTACTTTTCCGTTTCAAATATAAGCAGCATTAAAAGTTCTATGATTACTTTGCTGTTTAAGACAAATCTTTTGTCACAGATCATTTTTTTTTTTTTTTTAGCAGCTGCTAATTTCAATGTCAAGAGTAATAATAAAAAAGAAGCCTTACTGGCTGATTGCAGCTTTTTTGGTTGCATTCAAAGGGGTTTACCAGCTACTTACAACCTACCTACTGTAAATTTTATTCTTAATTATAATAGTGAGTTTATTTTGAGATTTTAACAATTAGTTTATGCCTGTTACACTTGGGAATATTACAAAATTCAATTTGATTAGTCCTGTTGTGAAACTATAAATTTGTCAATTTACAGGTTTTTTATGGCTATATAATTGTTATATATTTTAAATATATGTTTAATACTTGAATTTATTGTTAGTGATAGTCTTGATCAATTTTTTTGCTAATAATTCTTTTTTCTAACAAATTTGACATTTTGTGTGTTAAAAACAACATTTTCAATTATTTGAAGTTACTTTTTAATTTTTTTAATTTTTATTTATAAACTGGGTGATAAACTAATGTAGTAAAAAAAATCCTGCAGTAATCATATTCTAAAAGATTATCCTACCAACTACTCTTTGAGGCTGCCCAGCCATTTTGCCCAGAATTTTGCACATCTTCAGGTTTTGATGCTTGGTTCTCGCCAGTATTATTCAACATAACTACCCGTGGGTTTATACTTTCTGCAACAAGTGTCGCTTCTTGGGTCTGTTTAGTAACATTGGTAAATTTTTTTTCACTTAATTTTTAATGTTTTTTTTTCCTTTTCTTTTACTTTGGTTCCACTTTATTTAATCATGAACGAGATTCAATAACTCTTAATCTTTGTTAGAAATATAATTTGGTAATCAATCACAACCTTTGGCTTTTTTTGGCCAATTATATAACTACTGTCTTCTAAAAACAATAATTACTTTCTATTCAAGCTATGACTACCAAGCAAGATAGCATTTATGATTTAAAGTTAGAGCACGACAGAATGTATGATTTCTCTTTGATACCCAGGGCCGGGTTAAGTACTTCTTGGCCTACTGGCACTTTAGGTCTTCTGGTCCCTGTTGGCCACCTGGTATTTAATTTTAACAGCGATTTTAAATAAAAAATCTTGGTAATTGTCGCGCTATGGCTTTACAATGTATTTTCTTTTGTATTTGCACAAGCATCATGCTTTTTTTATTATTAAAAAAGCGCTGCGATTAAAATAGATTTTAAAACACCTTTCGTCTGCATTTTAAGTTTGCAAATGCAAATATGATATCTTTTAGGTCCATGGAATCCAACAACCCGTTTTCTATTTGAACAATAGAAGAAATAGACATCAATGCGTTGACGCAGAAAAGAAGTCATAAATTTTGTGAAGAAAGTTAAAAAATTAACAACAGCTCCGTTAGATTCCGCGGCACTCCACAACATTTCTACCAAATACAAAATGTATTTGGTAGAAATGTTGATCTCTTTAATTCTTGCTTGTAAACCAAAGTAGATTCTAGACCTATTACTGACATTGTCGTATTACTGACCACGCCAATTTTGAATGTTAATCGCATACTCTTCAAACTTTTTCAAAACGATTTCAACCATGGAGTTGTAAAATTATAACGCATAGGAACCATTTTGTACATCTGGAGTAGAGTCAATAATGATTGAGAAATATTTCGTAAATTTGAATTTGCTATAAGAAATTATGTTTTGAGTAAACAAAAAAACTATACTACAACATGTTACTTAAGGATGATCATATCACCTATAAATTCCATAACCTCGGCGGCAATTAAGTATATGAGTTCTTCGCAAATGTTTTTAAATAAGTACAAGATAAAACTTTTTTTTTTGTTTGCACGAGTTATCAAAGCTCAATACATCTAATGTAAGTAAAATTAAAAGTAGACAAAAATATGTTGTCAGAATTATTTTAAGTGCAGCTCAATTTACACATTCTAAAAAACGATTAAAAAATTATTACTTGATGTTTCTCAGCTAAAACTTTATCAAATTTTAATTTTTATTTCGGGGAAACAATTTTTTTTTTTTTCAAGTTTAAGTTGAAACTCTATAAATATAAAAACGTCTAAAATTTTTTTTTTGTAAAAAATAATAAAACCTCCGCCATAATACTGCAGCTCAAGATTCAGTCAAGATTTTATAGTAAGGTGTTGCAGTAAGGTGTTGCAGTAACGTGTTGCAGTAAGGTGTTGCAGTAAGGTGTTGCAGTAAGGTGTTACAGTAAGGTGTTGCAGTAAGGTGTTGCAGTAAGGTGTTGCAGTAAGGTGTTGCAGTAAGGTGTTGCAGTAAGGTGTTGCAGTAATTTGTTGCAGTAGCTTGTTGCAGTAAGGTGTTGCAGTAAGGTGTTGCAGTAAGGTGTTGCAGTAAGGTGTTGCAGTAATTTGTTGCAGTAATTTGTTGCAGTAAGGTGTTGCAGTAAGGTGTTGCAGTAAGGTGTTGCAGTAAGGTGTTGCAGCAGTTATATAGATCTAAAGAGTTTTTTACAACCTCCTTATGGCTAGCAAAATAAAACATGTTATAAAAAACATATTGATGTCTTTTTAACCAAACAGAGAGGGTCATTAAACATTTTCTTGCTGATTCTGCTTGTTCATTAAACCAAGAATCATAAATAGATTGCCATTTGAAGTGAGTGATTACACAGTTTTTCACATCATTATCATTCCACTTAGTTTTCAAGCCTTTAAAGAGTGCGCTGTCAGGTCCTGTGGTTTTGTCTATGGTAACTGCTAACCAATAATGTTTTAATATGACTTCTAAAACATGATGTCTACAAGCAAGCATCAACAATGGTTTACCAACATAGCTTCGCAGTCTGAAAAATTAAGATTATAACTAAGTTGTTTATTGTAATTAGCTTTTAGAGTCCTTTTTTAAATTATATTGAAAAACAGTTCACCTGTATATAGCACCACGAATCATTCTAATATTGATAGCAGTAGTATCGAAGCAGACCATCCTTACGTGATCAGCAATTTCAAACTCTTTCGAAATTTTTTTGATAGCCTTGAACTGATTTAGCCCTGTACCAGAATGAATTCTTGGAGCGCCAAGTAAATGATTAGTACCTCCAGCTCTCACAAAAACACAAATCCTATCAATTGCTACATCACCGTGATTTCATATCAAGTCCTAGAACTAGGATTAGATTAACGATGTAAGAAAAACAGTTGTTTTCAATTAAAACACCAGTTAAAATTAAATATATACAAACCTTGATAACTTTCCGTCAAAGTGTAGTTGAATTTTCACCTTACCCTGTTCGATCTCTTTTTTTATCAAAATCTTAATATTTTCAGCATCTTTGTTAATAATATTGTTTTTCATTTGAAAAGCTGAAGTATAATAAAGGGGCAACTTATTTGGATCACCTCCAGCTGCGGTGACAAGCTTTATCAGGGTTGCTGTAACTTTATGAGCTGTTATATCCATGCCTATAGCTGTTCTCATAGTTTCTTTAATAACTTCTTGGTTGATAACAATGGTTTGTTCATGGTTTTTAAAACTCCTTATTGAACATTCCATGTAATTATTTTCTGATACAGACTCTGAACTTGGTTCTGAAGAAATTGTTTTAGGTAGATGTACACCATCAGTATAGCACACTTTAAAACCTCTAGACTGAACAAATGATTTTTCGTAAAAACCTGTTGATGCTATAACTTTACTCTAAATCCTGCTATTTTTCTTCTATTCTATCTCGGCTCTACGCTTGTCATTAGGCCCAAGCATCATTTTTATTTCCTTATTTGATCCTTCAGAAAAAGTAAGTCCTTAGACTTGTCGGAATGAAGCCTATCTTTGTCCGCTTTGATTGCTTTGATAAAAATTTTCTTTGTGTTACTGAGCCAAAACAGTCCTTGAAAATATTTATATTAAATAAAAAATTAACAATTCAAGTAAATATTTTGAGGTTTATTTAATTTAAATTGGAGGAGTGAATTTCAAAGGAGATTATGAATAACTTTTTGAATAAAAAGAAGTTAGTACCTCTTACAGTCTTTAAAAAGTCAGTGCGAGATTGCACAATTCTTGCCTTACTGTTATGTTGGTTTTTCTTGAGCTTCAGATATCTGTTAATATATTTTGTTATATTTCTTTGCAGGGTGACAGTTCCAATCATAGGGAAACCAGATCATAGCTATGGAAACCAAAGTGCTCCTTGTACACATTCCTTTTTGCAAGTAGTATCCAAGGAAATACACTGGAAACTGAATAAAATAATTTGAAGAATTTGTGACAAAAAACTCACTTATCAGACATTTTTTTTCAACAAATACAATTTTTGTGAAACTACACATAACATTATATTTTTTCCTCAATGCTATTAAAGTGTTATTTACTTATAAAAAGATATTTTTTCTGTAGGTTTTTTGTTCATTTTAAACCAATTAAAGTATGAATTATAAATTGAACCTGAACTTGTTGCTCAGAGGACAGCATATAAGACGTTTATTTTGATAACTTGGCCCATTCTTTTATTAAGATAAAGAAATTGCTAAATCACATCAGCCCTAGCTGGTAGCTTCATGGAACACATCTTAGCTGGTTTACCCACAAAAAAGTGCTCCTTGGTGCGAGCACTTACTCTTCTTCTCTTAATAAAACTCTTTTGCATTTTATAATTTCGGAATCTAAAAATATCTGTCCTAGGTCCTCATAGTTCAAAAATTGCATTAAATACATTCAAAAAATATTAGTTTAACATTATTATTAAAAATAGCTAAACATAAACAACTTTGCGAATGTACTTTTAATAAAAAACAAGCATTAAACTAACTTTAAACCAAAAGCAATGAAAACTTTAGATACTGATTTTTGATAAATAAAAAAAGTGTAAAAATATAAATATTCAATAATGGTTAAAAATTGTCTAACTGCATATTTATATGTAGCAAACGCAGTCTTTTTAAATTGTCAATATAAAAAAATTCTATCATAAGGTGTTGTAAAACAAATAATATTTTCAAAATACAAAATTTATCATAAGTAAATCGGTTTTTTGAACCAAAAAACATGTGGCCTTTTGCATGTTTTTCTCTTGTCCTAATAATAATGATACTTTGCGGTTTTATTATTTCTATACTTTAAAATTTGTGGTTTATATTATACCTTATATAGATTGTAAACGATTCTTATTTTTTATTATTTTATCTAAATGTAATTTTATTATTCATAATTTACTTTTCTATTTCATTCTATATTATAATATTTTTACGATAAAATTAAATAAAAAATTAATATGCGTTTTTATAACCATATTGTAATAACGTGATTTGCTAAACAAACACTTTTTTTTTGCTTTTACCTCCACCCCCATACTCTTATCCATAATGCATACCAGTATGCATAGAGTATGCATATATATTCATACACTACATGGCTACAAAATTTTATATTGTCATTTTGAGGTCATAAATTATAAAACACTTTATTAAATAACGAGCTTTAAAGTTGTTCTTTTCTTTCTCTATTTAAACAAAAACTCAAACAAAAACTTATTAACGATATTAATTAAAATTCTTTTTAAAATTTTTCTTTTTTCTTCCTATTTTTTTTATTTTTTTTATTTTTAACAACTGTCTTATTAACTTTTCTCTAATTTTTCTTTAAATTATCCTGTTTATTCATGAAATTATTCATTATTCATAAATTATCCATGCTTTAGTCTTTCAATTCTTGTTAGGTAAATATTACTATCAAAATTTCAAAGAAAATCAACTTAATTTAGATTACTTTCATTTCTTTTTAGTATTAAAAATTTAATTAGTTTTTTTTCAGGTCTAACAGACTTTTTATAAACAAATTCAAATCAAATGTATTCTGAAAATAAATCTGAAATAGATTTTACAATTTACAAAATATTTAAATATTTTACAAGTATTAATTCTAAGTGAACACTTTTGTCAATAAATAAAAAATAACAACAACAAAAAGTACAATACTTAAACAGAAAATTATAGTAATAACAATATACTAGAAAATTAGATATAAAACAACTACAAAAAAAATACATCAACTTGATAAGTACTTCAGCGGAGTAGTGCTTATGTAGGGTGTTGTAAAATTAACACAAGTTTTGAATTAAATAGAAAATATAGTTTTTAGTCTTTAGACTTTTACTTTATTCTAGTGAACCATAAAGTACTTAGGATAGAGTTAATAATGGATAAAAACATCAGGCAAATGGTTTCCACAGCTTTGCCCTTTTTTAAAAAAAATTTCATGATTACTTTGCATACATTTGTGTACAACCTTACACATTATTGCAATGTGTAAGGTTTCATTTTTGTTAGCCCTAAATTTTCAGCTGTAGATTTTTTTTCTGGGTTACCCACAATTTATTTCACAAATAGCAGCAAATTTTTGCGTTGATTTTGGAACACCCTTTATATATTTTCCTACACGGTGTCTACAAGCAAACATGAATGCTCAATAATGCTTACTTTTTGCATACTACCCAAGATAAAAAATAAACATATATTTTTTTACCAAATTATAATATTTAATTTAATTTTCCCATCATTTTATTTGTCTGAATTTCTTATTTGGGATTCAAATAAATTGTTTTTAAAAGAAATATTACAACTATATTGCATTAATATTTAGATTTCAAATTTATTAATATATATATATACTTGTGCTTAAAAGCTATATAAAGTTTAAAACCTCCTCTTTTTGTAGTTCTTTACATTTTACATTAAGGTACTTCCTACCAACCTACCAAAAACCTTGACAAAAATATATGCATCTCAGTTGGTTCATAAAAAAATACAATAAAACTAAAAACAATTAGTTTGTAAAAAAATACAATAAATTATTTTTTAGTCGCATGTTTTTCATTTCAAGCGTTTACCATAATCTCTATATCCAAACCATCGCTTCTCCTGTCTGTTTAACATATGATCTTAGAGAACAACAATTAAATTTCACAAATAGGAGAATATGACAAACAACTGTATGCACTTTCTATGTAACATTCAGCTTTGCATTTGTCAAAAATACATTTGATCTACAGCAGTATGCAAATGTCTTTTTGAATACTGCTGTAAGTCAGAAAATGTTACTTTGAACTTTTTAATTGGTGCCTAGTTCTTGTCCAAACGTGCACTCTTTAACCTTCAAAAATTTTCTGAGTATTAATAATTTGTATTAAATTAGTTTGAGCTAGGAAACACATCTCTCTCTAAAATATTTAATTTTTCTAGATGTTGTGTGGCATTGTTGCCATCAAAGCCTATTCCACGATAACCTCAAAGTAGGATATAAAGTTTTTTGAGCGAATTTGTAAACAGAGGCCAATAGTCTAAAATAGGTCTAAAGTAAGACGTACTACGTCAAATTCTAAGCCTGTCGACATAACTCAAAAATAAATACTTTATAAAAATTTTGCCATTGTTTATTTATTTATGTTTATACTGTGTTAATTCAGCCACATTGATTGCTTCTTTTCTTTTTCTGTAATAATTTTTCCTCATCATCTCAAAGTTATTTAAAATAAAAGAATCCTGAAACAATTTCATTGTTTTTAAGACTAAATTTTAAGTCTTTCATGCTTTTTTAAAACTAAAATTACTAATTTTTTTGATCAACTCTAGATTTGTATTGCACTTAAAAAAAACTTATACAAACTATACTTGCTTAAAAAAAAAACTACAGGCGGTGAGAGGCGGTCTTAATGGACCACTGAAGTGCTTTAGTGAGTGAAAACTAAACAAAATAAAAAAATTTGAAAAGTCACGTTTTGAGTGTTTTTTTTTATAAACTTTAACTGGCAATCTATTTTTAGATTCAAAACAAAACAAGAAGAACTTTATGCATTTTTTGGTTCTACAATGCTATCGTGTCGAGGTACAAGCGATATGTGGTTTGATGTCATGAATATGTATGGAGATTTAGGAACATTTTTAGCCGTTTTATCTTTGATAGCAATCATTCTTTATTTTGTAACAAGTTCCGACAGCGGTTCTTTAGTCATTGATTGTTTATCAGCGAACGGGAATCCAGAACCACCAGTAATGCAAAGAGTTTTTTGGTCCTTAACAGAAGGAGCAACAGCTACAGCACTGCTAGTGGCTGGAGGTGTCGATTCATTGAAAGCTCTACAAACGGTTTCAGTGGCTTGTGGACTACCTTTTACATTTTGTTTAAATTGGACGTGTGTTGCAATGTGGAGAGTAGTTCGTGAAGAAGCAGGAGAAATAGGAGAAAAAGATGGAAGATGGCAGTTTTCAATGTGGTCGTGGAACTGCAGAAGAAGAATCATCAAATCGATAATATCAATATTTTTTCCATGGTTTTACTTAGCTCATGCAAAAATGAAACTAGAGAACAAGACTTTGTTTAAGTATTTCATTATGTATAGCCTTCCGTTTGCAATACCATTTTACCTTTGGATGGCATTAATGATTGGTGAATTGCATGTTAAAGGTTTATCTTATGTTGGTTGGGCTATACTTGTTTTTTTCTTTGTATTTGGTGGTTCCTTCCGTAACGAGGTCCGTGAAAAGTATGATATTGAAGGTGATATGATTGAAGATGTTTTTTGTTTTGTTCTAGTTTATCCAATAGCAGTTATGCAAATTCATGAGCAAATTGAATTTGGCCATCTTTCAAGTAATGAATTTGAATTAGCAATTATAAATGAAAAAGATGACGAAAGTAAACATTGCTTAAAGTCATTTTAAAACGTTTGTATAATTTTATAATTATAACATTTATATTGAATGTTAGTTACCAGATTTTTTAATTTAATTTATAAACAAAATAATTTTTTAATGAAAGTAATTGTTCATAGATTATATATCTCAAGTAAAAACTCCACAGCAAAATACTCTATAATAAAAACGGTCTACAATCGTTTACTAGTAACTTACAACCATTAATTAATTATTATTATTAATTTTTGCTCTCATCGACCATATCTTAAATTTTCGATTTCGAAAAAGCTTATATTTAAAATAAGGTTTGCCAAAATACAAGACTTGCGAAAGCTTTGCATCATAATCCAAATGCTGTTGCAGAATTTCCGTATGTAAAAAATCACCATCCGTCAGAAGTTTTACAAAAAATAAAAAAAATTAAATTCCGTAATTACGAGTTGCGAAAAGAAACTTGCAAAACGATTCATTTCGAAGGAAGACTTCCACAACATTCTTTACGAAAGGAGCATTTTGAAACGTGCACTTACGGAAAACACGCAAAAACATTAATTAAACTGTTATACAAACAAACAAAAAATAAAGCTATTATTTATTGTTTTAAACAAAATAATGTTGCTGAAGGATTTTACAATCATTTATGCATATCGCGACGTTAGAAATTATCTTGTTCTATCTCCACATTTTTTAGGTTTGAGATAAACGATTTAAAAAACAAAAACTTTAGGAGACGGCGTATAAATTTTTTTTTTATAACTTATGTTTTTTGCTCAACTTTTTTACTTATAAATTAGATTTCAATTCAGTAGAATGAAATTATTTTGAGGAACACAACACTATTATTAATTCAATTTTTTCAGAAAGTGGAGAAAGAACAAGATAATTTTAACGTCGCGATATATCTATGGTATGTGTGTGTGTGTGTGTGTGTGTGTGTGTGTGTGTGTGTGTGTGTGTGTGTGTGTGTGTGTGTGTGTGTGTGTGTGTGTGTGTGTGATATAAGATATAACAAATCTTAAAAACATAATGACATAATAATTAATGAACAGACTTTTAATGCCAAAAATATGTTGGTTGTTGAACCATCATACTATTCTATTTTCTATTTGCAATGTTGAGAGATTACAAACTTACTGATAATTATTAGCGCATCTACATGATCTTATACATACAATTATATGTTAATATATGAACTAAATTATATGTTGGTATATGAAATAAATTATACAATTTGGTTGCTTAAAATTTTCTTATGTGTTACTCGTGTTATTGGCATTAATTAATTCTTGTTCGTCAAATGACATTTTAGAAGTATATATTATAAAAACCGTTAATTATTTATAAAAACTTGTATATGCATTTGACACTTATAAATATCAGTAAATAGATACCAATTACTTAGTTAATTAAATATATTTGGTTCATAAAATATAATTAAACACATATATAATGACTGTTCCGCAAGTTACTGTTGCAAAAGAATTTATTTTGACATAATTTTTTATATTTTGTAGTAACAAAAATTAAATTTTTATATTGTTAATATTTGTGATTCTGAAAATAACATTTAGTTATTAAAGTTTTGGTACACAAAGATTACATAATTGGTACATAATTTTTACAGTTTTATCCATTAGGCGAAAAAATTTTCATAAAGGGTTGTCCATAAATACTGTCACGCTTTGAGAGGGGGAGGGGCTAATGGTTCTAGTTCCGACTCATGCAACTTGTTACTAAAGAGTTACAATGTCGTCACGAGGGAGGGATCACAAATGGTAAAAAAATGCGTGACGTATTTTTTTGGCGACCTCTAATGGACTTCGAAATTTCGTTTAGCGAAAGCGCTCGTTTTGCTAATTCTACATCCGAAAACGTAAATTTCGTAAGTAACAAAAAGCTTTATTTTAAAGTTCAACTTGAAAATATTTTTAATGTTTTTTTCATTTCGGTACGCAAAAAGATAATTTTACGTTAATAATATTCTTTCAAAGGAATTTTTTTTCCAGAATTTTACAAAGCTCTATTTTTTTAAACCGATTACTCAAATCGATAAAATTGATAAAACCAATTTTAAAATATCTTGCAAAGGGGCTTTTTATTAAGAAATAACTTACTCAAATTATCGATTATAACTCGATAAATTACAATAAATAACTTACTCAAATTATCGAAATAACTTACTCAAATTATCGATTACTCAAATCGATAAAGTTGATAAAACCAATTTTAAAACATCTTGCAAAGGGGCATTTTATTAAGTAATAACTTTAGACATTGGTGGTTTACGCTTTCGTAAATAAAATTTTCTGAATAGCTAAAAGCATTTCCACGCGGTGACATTAATAAAATCTTTTCAAAAGTTTGTTTTGAAAAAAAGTACCCGTATTAGGGTATTACCCAGATTATATAGTTTCAAAGTTTCCAATTTAAAAAATAATGATGATACATAAATATTTTGCTATGTTACTAAATAATACACACTGCGTTTGTCAATGAGCAACATTTACTCAAAAATTTATTTAAGGTCTGAAAACTTTGTTTGATATTTTCAGGTTAAGGTCTTCTTTTAGTGATTTCAAAATCAATATAAGGTTGCAAAGCAAAAAGCAATTACTTATATTTATTTATTAAACTTTACTAAAAATTTTGATTCAATACTTTACATCGGAAGTAACATAAATAGTTCATTTAAGAAATAGATAGTAAAAAACGTCACCATTTTTTAGGCAGTTTTTGACCCCTCCTCCCTTAGTCACTGGTTATACTTTTTTTATATACCACCTTTAAAAAGGGTGTTTAACTTTTTTTTTTGTTGATAATATTTTTTCTTAATTTAAGTATGTTTATTGCCTTTTTTTATGCGTGAATTACAGTTTTCTGTGTTTGATAATCGACCTGATGCTGATTAGAGTTTTTTTGATTATAAACATGTCTTACTTGTTAAAATACAAGTTAAAATACAAGTTAAGATTCTATGAGACAAGCTTAATGCACAGTGGGACAAAACAGATCATTAAGAGAAAGTTTAAATGATTTCAATGACCGAGGAATGGTGCTCTGAATATTAGAGGCAATAAAGTAAAATTAAGAAAGGAAAACTACTTTTAATGGCGATGCCTGAAAAAGCTACAGCTTTTAAACCATCTTCTGACTGTTAGGCCATGAGGCAAAAGTTAACGGGGAAAAACATGAAAGTAGCTCCTTGTCAAAGAACAACATCCGGGATCCTTACATTTCACAATTTGCGTAAAATGTTGACAAATACGCAAACTAGTTATGATATTATTGATAAAAGATGATGAGGATAGAGCTCGATTTTTTTTTTATTTGTATCAGTATACTCGGCCACCATTGGAACTAATCAGTCATCAGTCCTGAGAAGATCAAGGCATAGCTCTTTTCAGGAAAATCAAGGTACTATTTTTCCAGCTAAGATCCAATGTCTTGCTTTAAACATGTCGCAATAAAGATAATTAATTTCTTAAGCCTAAATGAATTCCATAATGATCATGAGGTAGATCAATCCGGCCAATTAATCTTGGTTTTTTTTTAACTCGTTCCTTTATTAAAGGAGTTTTTTCCAATGATTGGCTTTTTTCTAAGGGGCTGATTATATGGAGACAAGCCTTCCCACCTAACCAAGGTACTCAGACAGTATGGATAAATTTCACTTTGTGTTTGTAATTTAATTCAAAGTTAGTAACTTTGCTAGATGTGTAATTAGAAATTCAGAGAAATTTGTATTTTTTTAAAGTTTTTACGCTCAAATTAATGAGAAAATTTTACTTCAATAAATATAAAAAACCCTAACTTACAAACTTTTTTTGGGAAATTAAATAATGAAACATACAATTATTACAGAGACAAAGTGAATCACAATGTTTAAAATCTCTTTTTATCAAAATAAATGCCAAGGAAAACAGTTATAAAATAAATGCTTTTGTGAGTTGACCATTTGGCATTTTGGATTGTAATTTTTTTTTATGGTCTTTCGCAATAAGGTTTATATTTTGCCTCTGATCTCCATTTGTAGATGTCTTCGCATAGTCTTTTAAAAATTATTAGGCCTATCTAATATATGTTTTATAATGATTTTAACATCAATGCTTATTTCAAAACAATTATTAAAAAGGCGAAAGTAATAAAAGTACTGAAAAAATATACATCTTGTAATTGTTGGCTAGATGAATCATAACATATGGTGTCTTCTTTTTCTGCGGACCAAATCCCAAACATATGAGGATAAAGTCTTTTTTTTTTTTTTTGGAGGGGGGGGGGGGGGACACTCTTAATATAAAGAATTTTCAGCCTGACTAAACAGAATCCCGCTAGATCAAAGACAAGATCTAAACTAGATGGGATGAATAATTTTGCATATGAACGCAATGTTAAAGTCATATGAGTTTTAAATGAGAGCACAGTGGGGCAGAGTGTGCCAAAATACCAAAAAATCAATGTCGGCATTACACGGTGAAAATTTTTCATAACGGTAAAGACTTGTTCATTAGAGGAAGTGTTATTTTATGCGGTTATTTACACGTGAATTTGACATGTTCCAAAAAGCTATCTTGCATTTTTTAATTTTTTATTTTCTTACACTTCTATTGTTTCAAATTAACTGGTGGTTGCTCAAGAAACAATATTTTTGGCCATGTGAATTTAAATAACCAAATTTTGGTCTACAAGCATGGTCTTGACTAAAAATATGTTTTAAAAAAAGTAATTTATTTGCCTTGATTACCCTATTTTATTGTTAAAGACAAAAATATGCAAAATTTGAAAACATGATATCTACAAATAATAACATAGTAACAACATCAAATTTTCAACATATTTTTAAGATGATAGTAAAATTCATTTACCATACCAATTTTTTGATAGACTTATTCAGTCAAATCATGCTTCTATTTGTAAAAAGTGTGTTTAAGACATAGCGCTATTTTTATAAATGTTAAAAATTAAAAAGTTATAAAACTCAAAAAAGAAAAAGTCAATGATGTATGGATTATATATAAAAAATGAGTTATCCCTAAAAATTTCAACTCATTTCATCCATTCATTTTTAAAAATTT